GAAAGAGTGCAAATTTGTGCAAGTCTTCTCAGGGGCAAAAAGGTGCAACACAATTAAGAGGTTTAGAATAACTTAAGAAATTTCAAGATGATTCATAGTTTAATGAATGGATGCTTATAGGTGGTTAGAAATGAATCACGGATGAGGAAAGAAGAGAAACCATGTTGACAGACGAGAAGGATCAAAGGGCTTTTGAGGAGGAGGCCTCAAAAGCGTACCTTTAACATAGAACATTTTTGTTTAGCTATTCTGGTTGTTCTCTTAGAGCTCGTAAAGCAGTTTTGATGGTAGTCTCTATGCTTGCCTGTAGTTCCGTGTTGATTTATAGCTGATAATATGTGAACATGATTTTAGGAGATAAATTTTATAAGCCGAAGAGCCTTGAAAGGTAGCCCTCTGTTTAACATTGCAAATAGTACTGTAACATCTGCCAGCTTTTTTAAATGATCGGCTCGTACTGCGCAAGTCAAGGCATTCATTTGAACTCGTTTTTCTGAAGGACGACGAATCCCTTTTTCAGATGCGTACATACACCTAGTCTTGTATCTAAGCGTAGCTGCAGCGTACAGTTGCCTTGCTGTGGGCTGGGGACAGTCTTATTTTTGTCGTTGCCTCATATCTGCCCTTATCTGGCTCTCCAGACACATAAAATCAGTTGCTCGAAACGGGGGGTGCTGGGGATAGGGAGGAGACGTATTTCAAGATGGTCATATGTACTGCGGGAGATTCTTCTGGCTCTTCCTACCAACTACGTCGATGGTACAGAATTGCAAAATGAGCAACACGTGTTTTGATGGAATTAAATGTGAAATTGGAAAAGGAAACATGTCTCAAGTATAACAAAGGCTTGCCAGATAAACCATTACACTCTAGAAATCTGCTGCTGTTAAAATAATGTTTCTTGAACGAGTTCCAGGTGGTATTGTTTCCATTTCCCCTACATTCAAAAAAGAAATAGCCCTTGATTTCAGCTGAGTAAAAACAAACGTGTACAGCTAACAAATAGCATTATACCTCGCCTACCTAACCACCTCTGCGCTCAGCACTTAGTTTTTCTTATGTGGATCCCAGGATACAGGAGTCCTTCTGTCTTGCAAGTCTGCGCTCATCCTACAAGTTGTTTTTGCTTTTTGTGTTGTGGTAGCGTGTGAAAAAGAATTGCCTCCTACCAACCTATTCTCTGTTCAGTTGGAAAATAAAGCAAATAAAAGGTAAAGAAACAGAGAAGGAGTAGAGAGTAAATGGGAAATAGGGTTTCCCGGCAACAAGTGGTATAGAAGCCCATCCCATCAGCACCTTTGTCCGTGACGCGCATCTTGGCAGCAGCAGGGATGCGCTTCCAAGCGTTGGAGCCCTAAGGCAGAAAGTCACCCCTCGCAGCCAGGGCCGCTGCTGAGTGTGTCGCTGTGCCCCAGGTGCTCTGACACGTGGAGGTGCGATGGCTGAGTAGGTAATTTGTTCTCCTGCTTGGGTCAGCTTCACTTCTTAGGCACAGATTTTGTTTTGCTGTTTGTTTTCTTGTATTTAAATTATCAGGTTTTTGCTCTGGAACTCATTAAGTGTTAGGAATGAAACGCTACAGGGGCTGTCTGGCAAGAGAGAGGGCTGGTGAAGCCTGCTCCGGTCTGTGGCCGTGGCACAGAATAGAGGGGTGTATGGTAACCAGTTTCCAGTCTGTCGTCTTTCTGAAAAGCTAGAAATCTGCTGTGAATATCAAGCTGAATAAGTTTTGCTTTGCCTGTAGAGGTGCATCCCAAATAAAACAACGTTCTCGGCCTTCCTGCTTTCGTCCAGTAATTAGCGCATGGACTGTAGCATTGTAGAATGGGCAGACAAACCCACCCTTGCTTAACAATAGGTGTCCAGCAGCGTTAGACTGCTTTAGGGTTACGTGCGTGGGACTGGCAGGTATGGCCCGGCACCTGTGGGAAAACCCTTCCGAAGTGGCAGCAGGAGACGTGGGGAATACATCAGGGCGTGTTGCCTGACGCTGTGCCTTCCCCCCCCCCACCACCCTTTTTTTTTAACGGCAATGCTGCCAAGCTTGTGTTAAGAATATACTGTAATATGCCGTAATTTAAGTGTCTTAACTCCTAACAGAAGCCTGGCCCAGGTGACGTTGAAAATGTTTGTATAGTCTGTAAATATGTTTTTGTGCAGAAGTCTCTGCATGTATGTATGTTTCTGTTCTTCATTTCTGGCCACCTTTGTGTTTTCCAGTCCATAATCTTCATTCGTGACCGAAATTCTCGTCGCCAGGAGGTGTCCGCGTACGTCGACTATGCACACAGACTGACAACAGATGATTTTGAAGTCTACTTCAGCGGGAAGAAAAGACTTCTCCCTCGGACCACTGATCTGAGGTATTTATCTTGACTTTGTTTTCATTTATTTGCATTTAGGCAATATATAGAGAAAGATTTAAATGTTTTTGAGTAGGAAGATAGCATATGACTTATGCAAGTGTTTTTCACTGAAAAGCAAACACCATGGCTCAGAATTACTTGTGGAGAACAGCTTTAAGAAGGGTCCCTGTCAGATTTATTTAATCCAGAGCATAAAGCTTAAGACATGCTTTGATCAGTAAGGGCACGCTTCTGGAGATGCCACAGGTCACATAGCCACAGTCAGCAGTCGCCGGGACGTCTCCAGCTTTGCCCGCTCTCCACAGAGTCCGTGGAAGGAGGCTTTGCTTTCAAAGTGGGCTGCCCGCAGAGGTCTTCTACTGGCAAATAAGATGGTGTGTTACCCGTGTCTAACAAGAAACATCATCAGCGAGCTTTTTCACGGAAGAATGTGTTTTCCTGAAAGTAAATCCTGTGCCTGAGTGCCCGGAGATCTACGTACGAGAGACGTTAGCGCACTTCTGTTGTTGAAGGCCAAGCTGAAGAGGCTTGGCGCAGCAAAGCTCGCGGTCTGACTGAGGCCTGGGACCGTGCTCAGCACTGAAGCGGTACATGGTATGGCCGGCGGGTGCTGTTGACGTGGGGGAAGAGAGGGTACAGATTTCAGTGTGCTGGCGGCGTGAATCGTTACGGGAGTCTCCTCTTCCCACGTGCTAGACGGTAAGAACTGTCAACGCTAGCTGCAATGTCACGTGCGGTGACTCTCTCCCGGTAAAAAGGTGTCCAGTACGAAGGAGTTAATGCATTTTCTCCATTTTCTGAGAGTGGTTTTCTGTAACGCAAGTCGCTACAAATACTGTTGGGTCAAAATCTGACGTGTGTTACAGAGCGGGAAAGCAGGAACGAGCGTTGGAGGGGACGTGTGGGCTGCCGAAGGTCCTGTGTCATTCGTTCACGGGACAGCAGATGTCAGTAATGAGGCAGAGATGCTGAGATCTATCGGCACTGCCTGAGATGGGAAGCAAAAACCCTGATTCTTTGCTTTTAAATGACAGGGATGAACAGGCAGTCGCTGTTTATGACAGAGTTAAGAACATCACTGAACATAACGTTGTGTCTGCTTTGCATTTTGTGTCCTTTCTACATGTTAGGATTTTACTAGTGACTCATAAATAAGCCTTTTAAATCCTTGTTGTCACATCCAGTAAGAAATGTCAGTGTTGTATCCGGTAGGCGTCCTTAGTCCTGGTTGTTCTGAGTTGAAAAGGTCTTATTTAATCTCTGCTTCAGCGTCTTGTTCCTTCTCTTGTATCAAAACTAGGGTATGCTGCAAACTTCACGGACAGCTCAGTATTTTCATTCCTTCGAGCGGCAGAATATAGCTTCAGGTGATACTTCGTTTTACCTCTTTGTTTAATAAAAAGGTGGGGGCAGGGAGAGGATAGAGCGTTACTTATCTATGGAGTTTTATAACTAGCATGTAACCCATTCAAAACTTCATGTGAACTTTCCAGCTGAACATTAAGGGAAGTTCAGGTAAAGCAAGCTCAGTGCCAGGAAGGCTAGTTTCTTTTACTTTATATATATATACACACATGTATGAATGTATACACTGTAGTGAATGAGGTTCCTATACAGATATATGAATATATATATAAAACTATACCTGTGTATACTGAAGTCTTGCTACATTGTGCACTGGCTAAAGAAAAAAACCTTCACTTCAGGTTTAAACGATACGGTTCTCGATGCATCACAGGTCCAAACTGGCTTTTCATGAAAGCCCCATCATGTCACGGAGAGTCTCTAACCACGTTTGTGTGTCCCGTGGTCCGCTGGAGTTGTCGCACGCCCCATTTTGCATCAGTTAGGTGTCTTCAGGGTAGCGCGTTTCGTTCCCACCATGTCTGTCGTGGTTAACGTTGAGAATGTTATTGGACAGATGGGGGACAGGTATGAAGAAGCCCAGGAAGAAAGACTTGGCCATTACTGTACTGATTTAGAGATTCTCCTTGGCAGAGAACTTAGCGTGTCCCCTGAAAACCTTTTTATTGAGTAGATAAAAACATCGTGTTTCTTGGTTGGAGTCTTAAATTTGAACTTCACCTGCTGGGTCCTGAATTTGTAGGGGCATGCCAGGTTAAATACAGCTTTAGGATTAGACAAGTTGTAATTACGTAGGCAGTCATCAAAACCGTCTCCAGCCATTCTTCAGTAATCTAAAAAGAATTTTCTTACGGGTGATTGTACATTTAATGGTCGTCCCTCATCTTGGCGGTGTTATTCCTCTGCCTCTTCGTTTTCTACCCAGCTTCTTCAAAATGTGTCAAGAATGCTGTTTGTGAATGGGGATAATTTGACAGTATGTATAATTTTGTACTTTCAGCTTTGAAACTCTTGTCGAGCTCTGAATCTAAGTCCTTGCATCGCGTTTTTCTTCCCTGGATAATTAGGCGTTTAGGCAGGTATAAGAATGCCTGATTATAGATGGCCTATCTACTTCTCGGGCTGAAAGACCGGGTGATTCTTTCTGTCAAAAGTGGTTGTTCCTAGGAGTCGTCATATCGGTTTAAGTTGTTCCAAAACGCAGCCTTCTTAAGGAACAAGTCAGTTTAGGAAACCGCCTCGCTCTGAGCTTTACGAAGCCCTTCCCCTTGGTTGTATTTACTCTTAGTCCCTTGGGAGACTGAAAATCTTGGATTTTGCAGGAAAGGTTAGTGTCTTCTGCAGAGCTATCGGATTATCTTTTAAATATGGAAATCCATACTTCGCTGCAACACATTTTTTTCTTTAGCTGTCTGAGGCTGTCAGAAGATATTAAACTTGGTCTTAAGTACGCTCTGAATCAGATTCTTGTTCACAATACAAAGTAAAAATACTATACAATTAAGTTTATGTGATGTTCATACTTTAAATCCGGTGGGTAATATCAGAGGCTCTTGTATTTGATCTACGTGGTTCCTCTGAGTATTTTTGCCATTATGGAGGGAGTATTGTTTATATGATATAATCCTCATTTGGTTCCAGTTTATTAAATAAAAGGAATGTGTTAGGCAGTAAGTTCTTAAGAGGTCTGGAATCTGGACTGTAATTGAATCCATTCACTCTCAGCTAATTTATGTAATCTGATGAAAAACAAGTGTAATACAATTTGTTCAAAGAAAATGGAGAACGTTCACTCTATGGAACCATACCAAGAAGTTCTCTGAATGAAGCAGCACAGCAAAAGACGAAGTTTGGGCTCCCTCCTGTCTGATCGGCCGCTTTGAGCGTCTCTCCTACGGAATGAGGATGACATGAACGTCTTGCAGTGCAATTCTGCTCTTTCAGTTGCGCGTGAACTCCTGCCCTCGTTTTTCATTAGTTTTTCTGTGGCAGCGTGCTAGATAGGGTATTTTTGATGCTGTACGCTATAGCGTTTTATCCTCAGACTTGGCTTGTGGTTGCGGTGTTTTCGTTTCTTACTAGTGTGCACGTTCTTTTCTAAAACAGAGCCAGGTAAGGAGCCATTTACTGTAGAACGCAGGTCCTAGATTTTCCCCTGAACTAATGGTCTGAAATCACTTACTTATCAGCAGCGAAACTCGTTTGGTTTTGGCCCTGGCACGCATCAGTCTGAGCACGGGAGGCCCGGCATTCGGGGCTTCGTGGTGCGGCACCTCGTCTGCGATACAAGCGCACTCCGGCACACGGGTGCTTTCAGACACGGCGCGTTGTTCTTCGTTACTGGCAAGAAGCATCCCATCAGCTTCTGCCCTTCTCCTCTTGTAGTTCAGCTGTGGTCTGTTTTGGCTGCAAGTGGGCGCAGCATTTGGCAGTCATGCATTAACTGGGGTTGGAATTCCCTCCCGTTTCATTGTCAGGAATATTCTCAGATACCATCTGTTAATCTGTAAAGACCTGGAGGCCAAATCATGCCCGGCAATACGTTCCCAAGCGTGGGGCATGAGGCAACTTCTCCCTTCCCTGCTGTATGCCATACCCTGCAGATTTGAGAGCAGTTTATGGAAGAGCGCTGCTCCTACGCCGCTTACCCAGGCAGGAGCTGAGAGGGAAGAAGTCGTATTTTCGCGCTTTGCGGCACGGGCCGTCCCGCCGTGCCAGGCAGAAGATGTGCAGAGAACTTCTCCTCCCTCGAGGAGCAGGCGGCGGGAGCCGAACCGAACTCCAGCTGCGCTCCAGCTGCGCCCGGGAGCAGCGAGGCAGCAGCGACCCACGTGCAGGGGTTGTGGTAATTCCAGAATCCAGCCCAAAGCCTCTGGAAATCGTTTCTCCCCAGACAGGGCATGTTCTCTGGCTGCCTGTAACTTGATTACAGCAGCCAGAGGTAGGAGCAGGTCACCCACAACAGGCACGTGAGCCTGTACTTGATGACTCCTGTTACTGTGGATCTCCTTCCAGCTTTCAGAGAACAGGATGTTGAATGGGTGTATAGAGGAAAACAGGCGGTATTTGTTTTGATGTTTTCTGTTTTGTTGATCAGGAGGGGTTTTTATTGCAAATCGAACAGGAGGTTGTCCTTGTGTCGAAAGATCCACAGTTAGCCATTTCTCCAGTTGCCCTGGCGGTGGGTTTACTTCGGTTGGCTCTGAAGGGCAACGCTTTGGTAGCTCGCTCTTGGTGCCCATCTGCAGACTCCGTTCATCGTCTGTTTGGTGTGTCACTCTCCAGCTACCCTCGCTGATGCAAGAGGCCAGCTGCTCAGTAGCGTTGAATGCCTGCAAATCAGAAGCTCATTAGTGTCTCTAACGATCGGATGCTATGGGTATAGACAACCAGTGAAGTCCAAACTTCATTTCAGGAAAAAGGTGAAAACATCCAGAGTTTCCCAAATGTCCAATCTCCGCTCTTGGAGAGGATTAAACAGACTCCATTCACTAATTTGCAGGGATTACTGTACTGCTAGTAATAGCACTACAGTGCGAAAGAATTCAGGGTTGAGAAAAAAATACCGCTCTAAGGACTTTGCCATGCCTGATAGAGTAAATTTCACTGGATTCTCTTAGAAAAGAGATTCT